TCTGCTCCTAAGTATTACAGCATCAGAATTTAACACCAGAAGAGACCATCATATCATGTAGGCTGACCTCCTGCACAACACAGGCATTAAACCCCTCTCAGTTATCCTTGTATTGAGCCCAATAACCTGGATTAGATTTAAGTATTACAGTGCTAAAGCATCTTTTGATAATAGTAGCCTTTTCTGCAGAGAGAATATTTTCTTCATTTCAGTTTATTCAGCTAGTTCAATTCAATGACTAGTTCATTCAAAGTTAAGAAACCAATAGGAGTTGAAAAAAAGAAAGTTTATTTTCTTCTTCCAATCTAATAATAAAAACTAGTGAAGAGTTGTGAGAGGATGAAATCTACTAATTCTAAAAATCTTGACAGACATGGTGACTAGAAACGATCAGTTCAATTCATTAAGTACAGATAATACTTTCTTTGTTTAATAAATCAGTTTTAAATGCAAAAGATATTTTGATAAACTTTTTTACTTATTTAAGGTAGTTTATTTAATTAAAAAAACAAATAAAATGCTGTTTTTGTGAATTTTTAATTGAATTTGAATTTCCATCCAAATAGAGCTTGATACAAATCACAAGTAAAAAATTAATCATCTAGTAAATAAGAAATGCATCATTCATAATTTTCTAACAGAATAAAAAGTGAAAAAATTAAGACTCTAAGGTGTAAGTTAAGCTATATAATTGCTTAAATAAATATGTACAGATATAGTGTATCCTATTGGTTAGCAAAAAAATAAGCAGTACCAAATTTAGTGTAAAGTTTATATTTCATTGCAAATCAACATGTTTTAATGGTTACCAACAAACAATCTTTCTTTCGTGAAAATAACTAAAAAGTATAAATGCAAAACATAATTAAAATCAATGATCTAAATCAAAGTTTCCTGCTTGTTGATTGAAATTATTATATTGGTGATTTAAATGACTTTGATTTCAATCAATCCATCCTGTTTCAGAGTGTGAATTCTTCATATCTCCAGCTATTTGTTTTTGCAGAGCTATTCTTGGAATTTTCTCTCTTTTGAGCTAGTGAATGATTGGAGGCGGTAATACCAGTGCAACACTAGTAGATGTATCATCACTATGGCTCAGCTGGAATTACTGTGTTTGAATTGTGCTTCACATCCTGACAGATTGATATATGGTGAAAAAAATCTTGCCTCCCACCCCAGCTACAAGATCCAGTATATTTTCATGACATGTTGCAATTATTAGAATGCTCTGTATTTTACTAACTTGTAAAGTTTGGTGTAAGCATGTTTGGTTGCATGGGGGTGAGGTGTTAGAGGAAGCTTTATATTAATGGAGAGCTGATAGAGTATTTCAAAATATGGATGGAAAATCCAGTAATCATACATTATTCTATACTTACTGTGGCTGTCCAACAATTACACTTCATGTTAATGTAAAGGTTTTAGCCTCATATGCCACACAATTATCTCCTTTATGTGAGACACTGCGGAGAGTTAGTTTAGATTTGTCACACACCCCTCTCCCGGGCCCGGGAAACTGCAAAGCAAGTAAAGTCTCTCTGATTTCCCTGCCAGTGCCCTTTTCTGAAAGTACATTTTGACCAACCAATTAATTTAATCAAAATAGCTTGTAGTGTACATCTGTGGGCTGGTCCACACTAACCCCCCACTTCGAACTAAGATACGCAACTTTAGCTACGTGAATAACGTAGCTGAAGTCGAAGTATCTTAGTTCGAACTTACCGCAGGTCCACACGCGGCAGGCAGGCTCCTCCGTCGATTCCGCGTACTCCTCTCGCGGAGCAGGAGTACCGGCGTCGACGGTGAGCACTTCCAGGATCGATCTGGGATCAATTTATCGTGTCTAGACAAGATGCGATAAATCGATCCCAGAAGATCGATTGCTTACCACCGGACCCAGAGGTAAGTATAGACGTACCTTGTAATTCGAATGGCAAAGAATCCAAAGTTTTAGACTGAGGCCTCATGGCAGCTTTGCTTTATTTTATTACTGCTTTTTCCATTATAAATACCATGGCCTTTTTGGGGTGGAGTTGGGGGGTTGAGATGGAGAGAAGGTCTACATTTTGGGCAAAAACATTTTAAAACTTCTCTAAAGCCCTCAAAATTCTGATTGCCTGGACTGAACAAACACTCCACATGGCCAGACACAGTATTAGGTATGGTATGGGAGGAGAATTCAGTTCATTGACACTCAAAAAAGGAGGCCTGGCAGTTAAACTGTATAATACTGCCAAATACATATTCCCACAATCTTTATTCCCTTATCCGAATGAGGCATTTTACAAGTATCAAGCAAATAATGGGAAAATATGAATTTTATATAAAATTCCACAAACAAGCTGCACTGATCATGTGTCAGGAAGGAAGGTACTGTATATTCTGACACAGTATAAGGCAAATGTCTTGGAAAAATTGTCTCATGGTTAAACCACAAGACTGGGAGAGAGGAGGTCTGGGTTTTGTTCCCAGTTCTGTTACAGATCTTTGGTGTGAATTTGGGCAAATTACAAATTCTCTGTGCCCATTTTCCCATCTGTGAAAAATAAAGATGCTGCTTACTTCTTAGGGGTTATAAGTCTCAATTTTTGTTTCCAAGGGTTTTGTGATCTTCAGATGGAAAGCATGATAAAAGTTTGAAATATTAACGTCTCTGAACTGTTCCCAATTGAGAGGAGTGTCATTGGTTATGGACAAAAATTTACTGGTATGTCAGACAAACCACTTCTATTATTGTCAATTATTTCTGTCAGAAAATGCCAAACAGTGTACAGAGGTTATAAAAATTAATGATTAAACAAAATTAGCACCACAGAATATTAACCTTTCCTACACTACAGCTTTTCCTGGGACTCGTATCATTTTGGATCTTTGTTATCCAACATTTTGGCCACGGAAGGTTGGGAACTATCTGACAAAGCAGCCACTAGCATGCTTAGAGTAAAGCACATGCTTAAGTGCAACAGAAAGCTTTACATGTTATAAAATCAGTGCCAAAGCATCCTCCTCTTATTTTTTGTGTGAAGTGAAAATTTGGTGGGGGAAACAAATCGGGGAGAACACACTGAATGTTCATTTTGGGGATCTGGAGCAAGTTGGGACCTACAGCAAAGGACTCCGAATTAAATGCATTTCCTGGGTTCAATTAAGCAACAATAGATATCAGGCTATAGGAAACAATCTCCTCAAAACTAAATCACTTGAGGGGAAAACAAAATTTCTTTGTGAATGATGGGGAGAGGAACTATACTGAACATCAATGAGATTTGAAAATGATACCACATTGGCAGATGTTCTGAACATCCATCAGGACAGAAAAATAATACAATAGGAGCTAGAGAGATTAGAAACATGGTCAGAAAACAGTAAAATAGATTGAACTCACAAAAGTGCAGGCTAATGCACGCATGCACGGGTAGGAAGAAACTTAGCAGCGATTCTGAAAGATACCTAAGATGTGAGAGTAGGCAGGAAATTATGCATGCGCGCGTGTGTGTGTGTGTCTATATATATATATATCAGCCAATGCAGTTTGGGCTCCATATTCAGAAGTATCAGAGCATGGAGCCGAAATGCCAGTGAGCACCTAGTATTCTCTATTAAATCACTAGATTGTAAGCTCTTTGGGGCAGGGATCATCTTTTCATTCGGTGTTTGTACAGTGCCTAGCATAGCAGAAGCACCAGTCACAGACCGGAACTCTGGGCAAGACTGCAATTCTAAGAAAATTATGCTTAAAATAAGTAGTAATAAAATATTGACAAATATAAGGAGTTCAGATCAGAGTTACAAAATTGATTCAGAAACGGCAGGAATTGACTTATGGAGGAAACACTCTATGTATATAATTATAGCTTTGCTTAAGTGATGATGAAGTTGGGACATGACCATAGTCTACCAATATTTGAAAGGTCTAAACACCAAGGAAAGAGAGGAATAATTTAGAGTGCTGCACAGAGGTATAAGTTGGAATAACAGTGACATGAAAATTTAAGCTATATGGGAAAAATTCTGATCACTCTGATATTTATAAGGCTCCTTGGCTGTGGTACACTCTCCTTAAGCGAAAAGATGGAAGTCCCACCACTGGGAACACCTAAGAGTATGTTAGACTGAACGCTAGTAGAGCTGTGGCAAGTGTTATGCTTTGTATGCCCGTGGTCACAGATTCAAATCCCACTTAGTCTATCACAGACACAGTGAATAGTCTCGGTTTTAAATAGAAAGTATGTCCCCAGGGTTGGGGTGCTAGCCTGGAACAGGGGTCAATCCCCTGCTGTATAACAAACTTGGTGCATCACCTTAGGCAGCTCACTTAATTTCTCTGTGCCTCCGGTCCCAGTCTGTGAAAGGGGCTGGTCCATACTTCACAGGGGTGTTGGGAAGATAGAACTATTAAAGCTTGTGAAGCCCTCAGATAGTATAGTAATAAGTTCCATGTAGGTATCTTAGATAGATTGTAAAGATACCATAGGGGAACAATCCTTCAGTGGTGGGAGATGGACTGGGTGGCAGAGCTTACAGATTTGTTCCATGTCTATCTACTATGATTCTATAGAATACAAAATTCCAGACAAGTGTTAGCAGCCTCTTTTGAGTAAACTCTGTTCAGTTGGGTGGAGTTTGCCTTGTTTTTTGCTACATACAAATTATAACCCTCCACAACCCCTCTGCAAATATTTTCTCACACACTGCACTGGGCAGGAGCAGGCGGGTTTCCTACAGATCTTCTGGATTCGTTTTGGGGTTTTGTTTTTAAAGGCGGGGGGAGTTGGAGGCTTGCGAGACAGGGCAAGTCAAAAAAACAACTAGGCAGCCAAACTAAGAAAAAAGGCAGGGGAAACTTCTGTTAATCCTTCTCCTTTCAGCAACAGCAGCTATGAGAAACCAAACCCTACATAAGGCTCTTTTCAGTGCACAGAGAATAAAGAACCTCTGCACAGGTCATATGCTCACTCCCCCTCACATTTTACATTGCCTTGGTAATAGAGCCTTACCTGTTTGTCAGCGATGAAAAGGCAGAGAACCAGCCAACAGCCTGCTGCTGAGATGGACATGTCCGTGTGTCTGTCTCTGCCTGCCTTTCCTGTTCCTTTTGCTGCCACTGACCAGAAATTAGATCCTCCAAACCAAATCCCCTAGCCCCAGCCACAACTGAGTGAGGCACATTTGACTTAGTTACTTCTCTTTCTTCCTTTCCTTCCTCTCAGTTACATGAGGGGAGAAAACAAACATACCAAAAAAAAGAGTCTGGCTGTAGTCCCTAAAGCATTTCCTCAGGACTTGACATGCAGGTTTTTTTTTCTTGTTGTCCCTCCCTTTCCTCTCCCCGCCCCCCTGTTAGAAGAAGTTTAGTCATGAAGCCTGTAGTCCTTCCTCCTGCTGATAGTGCTGCTTTCACTGTCTCTCCCTCTCCAAGTCCATCCCACTGCCTACTGCCCGAGCCTTGTTTCCCTCTTGTCCTATCTTATAATTTCTCTCCTCCCACTGCTTCTTGCAAGCTCCTGCTTGCTTCCTCCCTTTCACTGCATCCTGCTTGATCCTGAAGTTTCCTGATGCTCCTTTCCATTCAATCTCTCAAGCAACCTGCTGTCCCCTTCCTTCCACTGCCTCTGGCAACCTTCTACTGCCCTGTTTTTCCCAGTGCCTCCTGCCACCCCCTTCCTCTTGCTCCATCCAGCAATTTCCTGATGACCCTTCCCTTCCACTATTTCCTGAAACTGCCCTTTTGCCCCCACCTCACACTGCCTCCTGCAACATGCCCTTGCTGGACCCAGCAAATTCCTGCCCTTTGCTGCTGGCTCTGTGAAAATTACACCAGATAGGCATCAAATCCACCACACTGCAACTCCCCTCTCCTGTTTATCAACAACAAAACTCCTAAAACTGGTGGGACACATCTTCAGCTGTGCTGTCTTTCTGTGTATATGCGCTGCACCTGGGCGGATGGAGGTGAGGAATGTGTTTCTAAGCTGATCTAATAAAGAAGTTGCTCTTTCTCTTGGGTATTTAGATTTGGCCCATGACCAGAAGGAACATAGCTTTATAGGTTATTCCACACCTACAAAAGATCAGACACAAAGGGAAACCGTGCTCTACTTGTGGCACTATTCTTTGTTTCCTCTGCAGATGAATTACCCTTTCAAACAGCCCTGGGTGTGAGGAAAAAATGAGCCATTAGGTTTTTCTCACAGCATTCTAATCCGGAGAAAGGCTTCATGCATGGAACAGCTTTCCTCTGAAATCACACAACCTCAGCACCCAAAGGCACATAGCAATAACAGTGCAAGTGGCGACATAAATATGCTGGCATTCCTCTTTAAACAATAGTGATTTCTTATGATTTAGGGACACTCCCTTCCCTGCTAATCCCAGGAATTTACTTTTACATTTCAGTGATCGTGAAAAGGGCTGGCTCGACATGCCTGCTAGAGGCCAAAGTCTGCTCTTTCTGCATTATATACACAAGAGAGACAAGGTGGGTAAGGCAATACATTTTATTGGACCAACTTCTGTTGGTGACAGAGACGAACTTTTGAGCTACACAGAGCTTTTTACCTCACCCACCTTCACTCTCCCATACATATATCAGTATAGCAAGGGTAGGGTGACCAGACAGCAAGTGTGAAAAATCAGGACAGGGGGTGGGGGGTAATAGGAGCCTATATAAGAAAAAACCCCAAATATCGGGACTGTCCCTATAAAATCGGGACATCTGGTCACCCTAAGCAAGGGAAGCAGCAGCATATGATTCTCACCCTTGTGCCTCCATCCTGTCCAGATGAAGCTACCTCTGGGGTGAGAGAGCAGCTCACGTTCCTAGCCCGTTCACTACTTGAGCTGTAATGAAATTGCCAACTAAGGTGCTAGACCTGCTCACTAGGTACATTGGAATTGTTATTCCAGGTCAGACCATTGCTCCATCTCATCCTGTGTCACCAGTAACCGCCAGTTCCACATGCCTCAGAGGAAGATGCAAAAAACCCTGTAGCGCACGATCACACCCACTTATGGAGATAGTTTCTTTCTTATCATTTAGTGCTCGGCCCATGCTTTAAATATCCCTCATATTTGTTTAAATGCTAGCTAATGTAACTGTGGGTGGTCTCATTATCTATATGTTTAATCCTTTTTTGAGCCTACTGAACTCTTGATACACCATCTCTCTGTGTGCGTGTACATATTATACACCCCTCCCCCCCTCATTTTCAGTGACATGATATCTGATTCTAAAAAAGAATAGAATTTGGGTGTACACCGCACCCTTTCACACAGTCTAGTTCAAGAGTCACCCAGGTTTCGCATCCATAGAGGAGCGTACGGATGACAACTGTCTTATACACCTGAATCTTGGCATCCTTCCGTAGGTCATGGTCCATAAAAACGCGTCGGAGCAGTTTCCCAAAGGAAGCACTTGCGCACTGGATCTTGAGTTACCTACCGACAACCCCTCAAGAGTCTGGAGAGGTACCACTAATGATGCCTCCAGAAGATCTTTCGCCACACTTATCCCAGCATCCTTACTGAAGCCAATGTCAACAGCATTGAAGCAATGATTCTTATGCACCAACTCCACTGGGCTGGACATCGTATGCAGATGCCACATTCTCGCCTCCCAGAACAAGTCCTCTACTCTCAGCTCACCCCTGGTCAGAGACCCTGTGATGGTCAGAGGAAACGCTACAAAGACACACTAAAAGCGTATTTCAAGAAAACTGATGTGGACATCGCAAGCTGGTAGGAGCAAGCCACCAACTGACTTCAATGGCAGCACATTCTCCATCAGGCTGTGGCCCACTTTGAGGACCAGCGCCTTGCCCTTAAAAAGAGAGAAAAGAAGGAAGGAAGAAGAGAAAGAAAAAGAAAACTTTCTTTCAGCAGGCAGCTGACCTGCCAGGAAACGTTCTGGGGGCGAATCTGTGGTTCGAGGATCGGACTCCTGAGTAATCTCAGGACCCATATGTAAATCCGTGGTAGAGATCATCCTGAAACTGAGAGATCGCCGATGATGAGTTCAAGAGTGTGCTGAGACAGGGACACATTCTCCATCTGTGTTTGTACTTTGCCAAGCACACACACAGGAGCTTTACAAAGTAATGCATTTGTAACCCTTCTGCCAGGTGGAGTCAGCAACCAGAGCCGGGTTCAATATCTAGGGGTTCCTTTCCATCGATACAACACAGAACCGGCTCAAGTCCCCACCCAGTAACCTGGAAAATGTACACACCACTCCTGGGCGCCTCTAAGAGGCAATACTTCCCCACTCGCAAGCACAGAGTCTGAGCATAGAAAATAAACTTTTAATAAAAGGAGGGCAGCAACTTGGCATTAATTTAGGAAACACCACAAACAGGGTTCATAAACATAAATCATGAGTAAAAGACCCACCTCCAAGTAGGTTGGACAGTGCCCTTTTCCCCTCAGGTTCTTAAGTCCAGCAACCCAAAAGTCCCTTTCACGTGCCCAACCCTTCTCTGCACCCCACGCACAGTTGCTTTCCTTGGTCAGTGCAGACCCAGAGTTCAGAGGTGCATCTGCAGAGTTCACCTCCCCCCTGGGTGGGGTAAAGCGGCACCTTACTCGCTCTGCTGCTTGGGCACTCGCTCACCGCCCCTCTTTGCCAGCCACCCTGCTGGTTGTTCACCGGCTGCTCCTGCTGTCTGTCTGCTCCCACCTGCTCACTGCGCCCCTCCACCAGCCGCCTTGCTGGCCGCTCATTGCGCCTCTCTGCTGCTGTCCTGCTTGCTACTCGTTGTGCCTCTCCAGCCACTCATTCACCAGCTGACTGTCAGTCATCTTCTGCTGCCACCTGCCTCTCTGCTGTGACCTCTGCACATCAGTCTCTTAGTAATTTTCAGCTCTTTGCAGGTCAGGCAGAAACACTGCCCCATCTCAAGTGATTTCAGCTCTCAGTCATTTTTAGCTCTTAGCGGCCAGGGCAGAAACACAGACCCACCACAACTGATTTCAGTTCTGATTGAGCATTTAACATAACAAAGAGGCTCCTAATGAAGCCTATTTAGCTCTTTGTGTGAACAGTGGGGGGAAAACAGGTTAAATCGGTCCAGGGAAGATTCTTGGGCATGCCTGTCCCCACCCCTCTTATTTTCACAGGGCTCTGACATTCAAGCCACTGGCTTAACGAGGTTCTTTCAACTGATGGTGGCCTCCTCATTTGGGACAGGTTAAGCACAGTCCTGCTTTCCTGTATTCTTACATTACATTGTTACAAATACAATACATTCCTACAATAATTACAAAATAATTGGTAACCATATTTCACTACCCCTGCATTCAGTACTAAAGTGATTTGTACCCAACACTAGCCAAAGTTGATCACTTTGACACCACTATATCTTCTAAATATGTAAGTAGAGCAGGAGAAAACTGTATTTACATAAACACACCCAAAGTCTCTCCCTCTCCCAGCTAGCTGTCAGGGAAGCATTCATGCAGACTCTGTATACATTAGAAGTTGGTAAAAGAGGTGGCTGATAACTAAGAATGGTGTATTTGTATGGAAAGTATTCTGGAATGGTACTAACAGAACAGAATCACAGCAATGGGTGAAAATTCTTCTTAAGAAGTTGTGCACACCCCTCATGCTGGAAATCCTCAGTCTTCTGCACTGTATCAGTATTTTTAAATGATCATATTTAAGATACACGGAACTGTTGCCCTTAAACAGTGGTGCTGGAATGCTTTTTATAGTGGGGGTGCTGAAAGCCAGCAAAACTATCCCCAAACTTTTTACCTTGTGCCTCCCCCACTCTCCGAGCTGAGGCCGGGGGCAGGGCTATGTCTCCAGGAGGGGAGGACACATACAGGGATAAGGGTCGAGGCTGGGGCCACGGCTGGGGGCAGGTGCGGGGCCAGTAGCGGAGCACCACGTGCAAGACCAGAAGCCGGGGCTCCGTGTGTGCGTCCAGTCGCGGGGCTAGCAGCCAGGATCCCTGGGTGTGGGGCTGGAAGCTGGGATGTGGGACCCCACGTGTGCAACCGGGCGCGGGGCCGGCAGCCCGGACCCAGGGCGCAGGGCCAGCAGCCGGGATGTGAAACATCCCCTGCAGCCTGGAGCAGGGCTGCCTGCCAGGACCCCGCATAAAACCTGGGGGGTGCTGCAGCACCCTTCCCACCCCTACTTCCCACGCCTATGCTCTTAAATAGAACAATTGGTTAAGTTCCTTCCTCTTTTTACTCGCATGCATAATACTGAAACTGTAAGCACTATTTATTACCAGCTGCTGATCCAGGCCACAGATTTACAGGAGAAAGCCAGAAGGACTTTAGGATGCCCAGCATTGCAAAACAGTTTCTATTATAATTCTCTATACAGATGCTTGTTTCCTCCTGAAACATTCGCCTTTGCGGATGAAATTTCCACTCCACGCCTGCAACTTTTGGCTCCATGTGAAGGTCAATTATTTCTTGAAAGCTTGAGTAAAGGCATTTGTTTCTGATTTACATGCTATGAAACTGATCCAAACCCCAGTGAATCACTTAGTGTCTTCTTACTGACTGTACAGTGCAGTAGAGCCTTAGAAATCCAATTATGTATGTCTGAAAAATAAGAACTGGCAAATGTATAGTAGGAAGTTTTGTCAAAGCTTAAATTATAATGTTAGCCATAAATGTTCTAGGTAGGGCTGGTCAAAAGTTTTGCACCAAAACTGTTTGATAGAAAATAGGGTTCACAACTATACAATTTTTTAAAAATGTCCAATTTCTGTGG